AACTTTGTTTCACTCTTGGTCCAAATTTACATTGGTTTTATCATTAACTAACTTAAATATCTTCTTAACAATTAGCTTTTTAACTTCTTGCTAAATATATTATAACTATCACTAGTTCTTATATTATGTCATTGTCTAACTCATTCATAAGCCTAATAGAAGTAACATGATACGATTTATTATATGTTACAGTACGGTGTATAGGAAATTGAAGTAAGACATTACCAAAACGAGTCTGTTTTTGGTGTACATCTGCTAATCTATTATATTTTTCCATTATATAATCAGGTTCTCCACTTTTAAATACTTTACATGTCAGTCGTAAGATACCATATTCAATCCTCTCCTTAATCTTTAACCAACCCAGTCTATGATAATATTGAGTGACATGATCATCCCACTTAAACCTAAAAATAAACCTAACATCCGAGGGGTTTCAGAGTCCATAAAGGTCAAAAAAACATACATTGGATTTTATATATATAGAAGGTAGATGATCTCCAGATTCTCAGATAAAAATTGGTTTCCATTAAATCTTGTATACCTATTATAAAGAAAGATATTTAAATATATAATTCAGAAATTTAACTCCAGTATGAGCAGGGGTTCTCAACCTTTGTCGCTCCACAAACTTCTATAACCCTGCATTTTTCACCTCTCAGCCCCCCCCCCCTCCACCAACCATATTAAACTCTTATATCATATTTAATTGCACATTCATTCACGTCAAGCTTGGGATCTAGTTGGTGGACTCGTCGCTCGTGTGAACTGGTGTGTCGCGAGGAATGCTAGTCTATGTCAGTCAGCTAGATGTGTCGCTCGTGTGAATCCTACTTTAAAATTTGCTCAAGTGTAGGCCCTATTGGTTACCAATTTTGAAAAGAATAATCAATTATTGACACACTATTAATATATTGATTTAAGTTCCTGTCGAATAGTTTGCAAGTTACCTAAAATCTTAATTTTCTGTTCCCATAAGTTTATTTGTTTGAGTGCAGTTGGTACTACATTACAGTATTATAGATGTAGATATATTTAACTGTTTACTACAGCTTATGTGCAATTGGTAATACAATACCTTTACTTGGCATGGGGTAGGGCCTCATTGAGTGTAATTTAGCCGCTGAACATTTCACCAAGATCTCTGATAAAGAAGTTTTTTACTAACGGCACAGTTATAAAAAAAATATTTAATTTTTGTTATAGCATGCCTCCTACATCATCAGCTTGCCAGCTTGGTAAGGGATTCGCCCTTTCACATAGCACATTTTTTACCTTAATTAACTTACCCCTTAAAATCGTAAATGTTGAGAAGAGCAGTGTTTCTGCCTGTAAAAGGAGCGTGAGTGGCATCTAGGAATCGTATGGTGCTGCAGGGATGCTGGTTTGTTTGCCAAACACTTAATAACATACATTTTCTTAAACTGTTGGTTGAATTCAAGGTTAGGATCTGGAAAACGTTTTGTTCTCACATCAGCTATTATACATAAAATCCGTTTAACCCATACCTTGACAGTGTCAATCACAAGTCACCTTTTACCAACCAAATTTAACTTAAACCTTGTCAAAATTTTCCATTATGTGAAGAAAAATTGGGAAAAGTTATCTGCAGTGTTGACAGCAAAAAAAGTCTCAAAGTTCAAGTTTATAAGACACAAAAAAAGGTCCGAAGCTAAATAGAGTGTCTTACCCAATAAAATGCAACAACTTGCCTTTACATAATAGTAATGCATTAAAAAAAACAAGCTACTATACCCATGCTTTGCAACAGGAAGAAAATGTGACCTAGAGAGCTATTAAAGTGGTGCTGATGTGCGTTTTAAAATACAGCAACTCTATGATTTAGTTTGAAAATACAAACTGATTTAAAAGCGTAAACCTACTTACTTTCAAACCCCTACTTTTGATGTTAATAGATCCATAAGAATATGACAACATACCTTAGTGTAGCAATAGTATCAATTGTTTAATATTGATGATTCATGAATGACATGTTTACCATAATTCTTCAATAGTCAAGCCTCTTCTCATGTAGCTTACTATATAAATTAAAAAATGAAACTTTGAGCCATTACAAAACGTATACAACCTCACTTTAAAACCAAACATAACCCTCCTCAATCTACATAAAGCATAACAAACATCTTTTTCGAGTAAATAAACAAACACCAGTTCATTGCACTGACCAGCTGTTTTATTAACTAAATTAAATATATCATTTAAACATTGGAAGCATGCGAGGCCCTTTGGAAATCAGCCTGTGGGGCAGAGCCCTTAGGAAATTCGTCCATATCAATACTTTTTGGCATCTCTACACTCTAAGCTTCATTTTGAGGTGCCATATGCCTATATTTTTATTTGGTAAATGACCTTAAACGTTTACATAAAATTTGATTGTATCACTTTAATAATATAATCTAAATATATAAAAGGCAAAGCCCTCACTGACTGACTGACTCACTCACTCATCACTAATTCTCCCACTTCCCATTTACCTAGGAGGCTGAAATTCGGCACACCGATTCTTTAGACATTAAATAGGAAAACTAAGTAGTTTTTATTCTGAACGGGCTTTCGGGCTCCGCCTCAGTGGCTCTGGAGTTTCCCATGTTAATCTTATGATTTTTCATATTTAAAAGGAATTTCTTAACAGCTGTTTCAATTAAACAAGTTGGTTCTGTTCTATGATGTTCATAGTATTAAATTTACAAGGATTACCAACAGGGTGCAGCACTATTATTTTTTAAATTTATGACTACAGCCAATTTGCAACCAAAAGGTGAGTGAGCGTAGCAAACGAACTTCAACCTGGAAGCGAGTTGGCGTAGCAAACGAGCTAACCTGAAGGCAAGTGAGCGGAGCGAACGAGCTCCAACCTAAAGGTGAGTGAGCGTAGCGAACAAACTTCAACCAGGACGTGATTGAGCCATGCGAACGAGCTCACTTGTGAAGGGGGCAAAGCCCGCGGGTACAGCTAGTAGGCCTAGATAATAATCAAACTTCAATGAAACATTGTAGTTTTAAAAAAACATTTATTACTGCAAGTTATAGAGATGACTTGCAGGTTTTTTAAAAAATTTTTATTTACAATCTGTTTTTACTAACAGCAACATTAGGTAAATTTGATGGAAATTCAATATGAGTTATTTAGGTAGTGTTGCACAGTGTCCAAACGTCACAAAGTCCAAAATATAATTTTTAGCTGTCTCACGATTTTCAAAATATAATTTTTTAGCTGTCTCACGACGTCCAATCTAAACTATTTGTCTGTTGCTCCACGTCCAAATCTCATTATGTCCAAAGGTAGCTGCACAAAACATAGTCTTTCTACAAGCTTTGGACGTCATGGGATTGGTCGTAGTGCAACAGCGCACTTTATACTCTTCAAAAGTTAGCAGTAGCACCATGTCCAAAGCTGCTGGACGGTTAGCTGGACTATATTAGGTTAGGTTAGGTTGGTTAGGTTTTGGACGAGGTGCAACTGCTACTTTTTTAAGAGTGTAAAGTGTGCTGTTTAACAACGACCAAACTAATGACGTCCAGCGCTTGTAGAAAGACAATGTTTATTGCAGTTACTGTACTTTTGGACATGATGAGATTTGGACGTTGTGCAATGCATCCGTTATTTACATGCCCAATGAGTGCATTAACCAACAAATACAAAAGAATTTAACAAACAACTAAGGTTGATTGGATGACTTATTTTAAGTCTATAAGTAGCTTCGCAAGTACCAAGTGGGTTTACTACCAGAAAATTTGTATAGTCACCTAATTTTTTTTATATTTTTCACTTAGTTCTTTCATTTTTCCTTTTGATAAAAGGTATTTTTGTGTCCTAACGTATAACATTATTTAAGACGTATCACAAAGCTTATGAAATTTGTCCTTTGAGATTTAAATCTTTTAGCTATATTTATGTTTGAGATTAGTGGTTCTGTAGAGCTAGGTACAGTAACATAGGCCCAAACATATTTGAATATAATGTATTAAAAAGGTAATTTGTTCATTACCAAATCAAATCAAACCAACAAAAATAACTAAAATGTACCTAACTTTATCCTATTTGCACAATTTGTTTTTCAGGATTAATTTTGCCAACAGTGTCATTTAGAGGCTTCTGATTGACTATAACGAAGGTTTAGTAATTGAAAAATTATTTTTGTTCATAGAATAAAATTATAAATGCCTCAAATTCAATTATATATTTTTTTATTATGAAATTAAACCGTCATAACCTAACCAAACCAACCAAACGTGCTGACAATGAAAAAATCTAATGAAGGTGTATTAATCGAAAAAATAGTTCTGTTCATAAAATAAAATTATAAATGCCTCAAATCCTATTTTAATAATTTTTTTATTATAAAATTAAACTATCATAACCTAACCAAACTAACCAGACTAATAATGAAAAATCAAATGAAGGTTTAACCGAAAAAAATATTTCTGTTCATAAAATAAAACTATAAATGGGTCAAATTCAATTTCATATTGTTTTAATTATAAAATTAAACCGTCATAGCCTAACCGGACCAACCAAACTTGTTGATAATGAAAAAATCCAATACAAAAAAATTGTGTTATGGATGGGATTCGAACCCGGGCCTTCAGAGCATTAGCCCAGCACGCTATCCACTACACCACCGAAGCCGTTGGCAATAACCGTATCGTCGCGGTAATGATGTTCCCTCAGCCAATCAGAAGCCTCAAAATAATACTGAAGGCAACACTAATCCTGAAATAAAAATTCAGCATCCTATTTGCAATTTCAAAAACATTCAATTTTATTTTAACCGACAGCTGACTGAAATAATGTAATAATAATATTTTGTATGGGTGGAAATGTTTTGATTATATAATGGTAGAATTATGATCAATTTCCTACACTACCTTCAAAGGAACCACACCATTCCCCTTTTCTCCTGATCAAAATGACACTAGTTAGTTAAACACTAAATAGGTTACCACCAAGGTGTTTCACAAAATATAAATTACTTAGGTTCAGTACAAAAATGTATTGGTATTATTTACATGGATATTTACAACCTAAGATCTACAAGAGTCTAGTCCTCGTCAACATCTTCCTGCGTTGCACGAGCTCCTATGTTGACGCTGGTGGCAAGGTTCGTTTGTCCTGTCTTGAGCCGATTTCTAATTAATTCTGCGATGGCCCGCTGAGTTCTCTTCTCTAACCTCTCGAGTTTCTTCGCAACGTCTCGCTCCAATTCCCAGTCTCGTTTGCCAGGAGCCAAATTTGAAAGATCCTGAAACATAGCAACACAACAATGTAAATATAATTAAATATTAAAATAATTAAATAAAGATTGTGTGGTCTGTATCAATACAAAAATATCAGAAACAGCCAAGCTGAAACAGTCAATAGCGTTGATAGCGCTCAAATACAGTTTTTTTACAAACGGCAACAGCATCTCTGGGCAAGAGATGTCCCATTTGCAAAACATGCAGAACTCTGCAATGTGTTTCGGTTACACTATCCATAAGCGTGATCGGGTATCTCCTTTTAAGGATGCTATGGGGTTGTTGTCAATGAATGTAAATATTTTTGTATATATTTGTTTTATTATTAGACTCAAGTAGTTTAAAATAACAATGACACATTAATCTATGCTTTGCATGATTTGATTAAAGATTAATTTGAATTGATGCTGTGTACAGGGTGCCTCAGCCACCGGGTCTTAGTACAACAAGAGCCTACTTGGTGCGAAAGCTTGTGGCACAAGGGGATGTGACTAAACGCGAGACCCAGCAAACGCCTTGGCCCACTAAAAGTCCAGCTAAAAGAGGGTGAAAGTTTGAATTTGGCCCAAAGCTCTACAATGATATCGCCAAGCATCTCAAACAGCTGGGGGTCCTAGCTTTCAAAAGATACATGAAAAAATTGTAAAATAATTCTATGTATGGTTCTTATTTTATTATACTCGTTGTTTTGATCATAATTAGGCCTACTGCATATGTTATGTTATTATTATTTTGACAAGAGTAAATCTATCAGCAGTGTTTTTACTGGGAGACTCAGAAATAAAGGCATTTTTAATTATTAATTTTTGACGTTCCTTTTTAATTTTTACCTTTAATTGTTTAACAAGGATCTTAAAATATCAAAGGTTGATATTTGGACCATCACAAGTAGGCTACCATGACAAACATTGTTATACAACTATTTCTGCAAGTTAATCTCAACAAAAACAGTTGACATGAGCTGCTACCTAGAAGTCAAGCTTAGGACTACAATGTTGGAGAGCTGGGTTTATTATTTTGGTTTAGAAACAAACTCTTTCAATAGAACCTTTGACTATTAGACATTCCATCCCCATGTTAAAGTTGTCGCCAGTTGTTTAAACAAAATTGTTGTAGTTGATGTGAGCCACCTATAGATTGCGCTGATCTAATTTATTGATTTCTTTTGAGTACAAGAACTGTTTTCCAAGTCAGACTGATTTAACGACTTATTGTGAGCTATAGCAACTGTCATGACCCATAAACTGTGTTAGCGACAAAGTTTAACGTACAAAATAGAATTTTAGACACTAGCGCATTCTATAACTGGCTCACACAACAACTATGTTCTTTTTCAATAAATAATTGGCAACAGGTGGTCTATATAGATGGGATGTCTTCTTCAGTATCTAGCCAATAATAGAACTCTTTGATTGGAAACAAGTACTTTGGGGTTTTTACTCAATTAATTATCAATTAATTGAGAGGGGGACGCCACCTAGGTGCGTATTTTAACCCAAGTATGAGCGAAAGATGAGTGTAGAATGGAGTGAGATGATCTGTGTAGCTTTTTACTGACTAAGATCAGCTGTTTCAGTAGCCAGGATCATTTACTTAAAGCCCAATGATCAGGGACAGCTGGGCCCAGTTTAAAACCATCTTAAAGCTACTGGGTTTCACAAGGTGGAACTGGCGACCTTTTACTTGTTAGTCCCTATAACCACTCAGTTACTAATACTGCACATACTGATCAATGAAGTAGTCTAAGGCATATTTAAAGTACAATCTAATTAATCCAAATAATGTAATACAATTATAATGGGAAAGAATTATTGTATGTGTATGTCTGTTGTTCCATCACGTGAAAACTACGTGTCCAATAGTACTGAGATAGGGTGCATTCAGCAATCACGTAGGTAAAAGCTCGGCACAAAATTTTAACCCACTAACAGATTTGTGAAGTTCATTTTCTTAAATAAAAAAAATCCTTGCAGGCCCCCAGAGAGGCCCCTGGCAACTGTCGTGTACACCCTTAGGGAAATACGGCTCAGAGCATAATACGACTAAACAATGTCTCCATTGTCCTCATTGTTATTTTTTACTAAATATGTGTTGGATACAAATACAAAATTACCCAAAATGTGTTTAATAAACAGAAATATTTTAAACTGTGCCAATAATTTTTTCTTCTATTTTATTTTATTACAGATTTTACAGGGAAATTTACTACTAACCTAGACCACAGGAAAGCACCCATTCCTAGCTAAACGCAGACATAAAAATACCCGTTCTTCCTGGTGTGCTGCTGCACAAAAATTGAATGGAATGTAGGCGATACCGGCACTCACCGGTGAGCGTTAAGCGTAGCAGAAAGGAACTAGAGCAGTCACCAGTGAGTGGCCCGCAGCGAACGTGTTAATCAGCTCTCAATCGTAGCAATAATGACTAAGAAAGAACCTTCATAAACATTACATAACTAAACACTGACCAGTTCTTCAATGACCACTTTGGAGTTAGCTGCCTCTAGTTGGGACTTGACTTCACTTTCTACATCTCCAGGTTTAGCTGCAGGAACAACGTTCTCTTTCAGTGATTCATCCTCAGGAACGTAACTCCGGAATTTGGGCCTGGGGAAACACAGAGAATTAATAATCACTTTACTAAGAATAGTAATTTATTCAGTCTTTAAACAATACATTATTGTAATTGACATCGTCATTATTATTGTAAAAAGATATAAGATGCAATACTAATATTAAAATTAGACATGAAAAATCCAAAATATAGGCTGCCCTTGGTTTAACATTTAACAAGTTTAAAATAATTTTAAAATAGGCAAACTTAACAAATATAAATTATGAATGACGGTGGGTCTTTCTTAAAAAAGGCTAATGGTTAACACAGGTGTAACATAGAACATAGAGGGACAAAATTTCTAACATTATCACAGATGGAATATGGTTGTGGAACAAGCACATAATAAGGAATAATAACATATGGAATAAGCTAAGCAGTAATATGCGTAGACACTTCATCTAGGCCTACTTACTTTAAGCTGAATATGAATGTAGGGTGAGTGTAAAATGCAGTCTATGTTACTGACTAAGATCAGTCGTTTCTTTAGACAAGATGTTTAAAGACCAAATGAACAAGGACCAGTTTCAAACCATTATAGCTTCTGACATCTCTCAGGATCAAACAGACGACCCTCTTTTTTGGGAGTGTTGCACGTTGTCCTATGATATTAGTCAATTTCACAACGTACAAAATATAATTTTTGACAACGTCCAGTATAAACTATTTGACTGTTGCACAATGTCCAAATCTCATCATGTCCAAATGTACAGTTACTGCAAGAAACATAGTCTTTCTACAAGCTTTGGACGTCATGGGATTGGTCGTCATGTTCTTAAAAATTAGCAGTGGACCACGTCCAAAGCCGCTGCTAGTTGCATGACGTCTAATAGCTCAACCCTGTCGCACAACATTCAGAGCTCCTGCATACGGAAGTAAATTAGGTCAAGTTTGGTTAGTTTATGTTAGGGTCGGTTAGGCTAGGTTAGTATAAACGATAGTTGGTAAAACAGTTTACAGTGTGCAGGGTCTTTGTACGTCATGGGACAGCGCTGAGGTATTGGACATCGTGCAACTGGCAGTGGCTTTGTACGAGGATGCAACTAATACTTTTTAAAGAGTGGAATGTGCCCTGTTTCACGACAACCAATTTAATGATGTCCAGAGCTTGAAGAAATACTATGTTTATTGCAGTTACTGTACCTTTTGAACATAAGGAGATTTGGACGTCGTGCAGCCGTTTTGCCAAAGGTTGTTTATCATAATGCTAAACAGTAGAGGCCTAACACCAAGCCTTGAGGAACGCCATGGGAAACAACTTGGACATTTGAGGATACTCCGTTCACTGATTGCACAAATTGCCTAACCTGAACCTCACAAATTGCCTACGATTTTCTAAATAATTCTGCAGAGAGCACAACACTGCACCACCAATACCATATTTTTTTCAGTTTCCCTAGAAGGATGTTATGGGAAACAACATCGAACGCCTTACTCAGATCCCATAACCTCAGCATGACTGAGTCATTGCACTCGAGGGCATCTGAGATGAGGTCAGTCAGATTCATTAGGGCTGTAGTAGTTGAGCGCCCGCTTCGGAAGCCGTACTGGGCATCCGAAAGCAAGTTTTTACAGTACCTTCAAAATATTTAATCAGCTGCCTCTTCATCTCAGTCTCAAGTACCTTAGAGAACACCGGCAAGATAGATGGGGCGGTAGTTAGACGGATCTGAGGGATCTCCCTTTTTTAAGATTGGGATGATCCTAGCTACTTTTAGGACGACAGGAAAGGACCCTTTTAATAAGTACAAGTTAATTAGCTTAGTTAGCGGTGCACATATCAGATGTATGATACCTTTTAGTACAGAACAGGAGATATACCATTTACATCTTGGCTGTTAGAGTTTTTAAAGCCCTTCACTAAACTTATAATATAACATTCACTCACCTCAGTCCAACTTGTTAGTGTGTGGTTAGTGGCATGATCAGTGACTGCAGCAACCGAATCTTCATGCTGCAACAAGGAAAGGTTGTTGATGATATCATCAGCTATCCTGACAAAATAGTCATTAAAAACATCAGGGGATGCAGTTATCTTAGGGCCAGGGTTGGACCTCCTGTGCTCATTTACGACATCCAACGCAGCCAAAACAAGTATTGGACGCCTTCAATATTTTGTTTACATTGCTGACTTCCTTCGCTTCCTTAACTTTAGCACTGTAGTCTTTCTTTAGTTTTTGTTGGTCAAAGAAGAAACCAGTTACCTATCAAGTAGGCCTAAGTAAGTATCAAGTATCAAGTATCAAGTAAGTACCCTCACAACTTACTTGAATTAGGTCTACTTTTTGGCCTAAGGAAGGATTGAAAATATTATTTTAAGTGGTCTTCAAAGATTCAATGAAAATTTAGCTAAATATGGCTCATTTTAATTTTGTAATAACCAGTGTTTCTGAAGTTGAATCTTCAGTTTTAATAACTTAATTGTTAGTCGAACTCACTGTACAAAGTCACAGTCTATGTAGGATGGTCGACCGTCAATTCTACAAGTATTTCTTATTTATTTATTTAATACACGGTAACACCATTTACAATAGTGGTTAGCATAATCAATTACAAGATGGCATAATTTACAACGACACTACATTACTAATGCAATTAATAATAAACAAAACTGAACTTGAAAAAAACTTTGAGTAAGTAGGCCTAGATGTTATTCAAGGAAAAACAACAGACAATAATAACAGGCAATGCTGACAAAAAAAAAACAATTAATAACAGGCAATGAAAGGCTATAAATACAGGCTATAAATACAAGCTATAAATACGGCAAGCAATAACAGGCAATGAAAGGCTATCAGTAGTGACTAGGATAGGCTTAAGTTAACTTAAGTTTATCATCGCTCAATCTCTTAAAAGAATTTTTGTTTGGATAACTTTTAACTGTTTAGCCTAGAGCTAGGGATGAGCATCGACAGTAGATGTTTTCAAAACATCAATGTTTTCTGTTAATGTTCCATGTTATTTACTTTGATAGTAACTTAGAGTTTAACTTACCCTACCAATGTTTTTGTCGAACATCGATGTTTTTGACCAAGTAGGCCTACCTAGGTAAGTTATTGAAATATTGATGTTTTCCATGACTGAATTGCATTAATTAGCTAGGCCTATTAAAGCACAGAGAGCAGACAAAAAACTGAAAAAAATTGCCCCGATAACGTTGATGTTGGCTGCACTCTTTACTTTAAGTCCTACACTCATTCGAATGAAAATATCGATCGATTAATCGATTGCTTCATTCGATATACCGTTTGGTTAGTTAGGTAAGGTTAACCTAACCTAACTAACCAAACGATATATCGAATGAAACAATCGAACAATCAATATTTTTATTCGGATGCGGATAGGACCTAAAGTAAAGTGCAGCCTTGATGTTTTCACAACGTTTTAAGTTATCAATACATCGATGGTTGACTTAAACTTATCGATGATCATCTCAAGTTGGAGCCTATGATAAAATAGAGTAACGTAAGTTACGTACAGATAATCTGACCCATCCCATGTTAATGTTATGGTTGGACAAGATTGCGTTCTTCAGCAGGGTTACGGTAATCCATTCCTAAATCTGCAAATCCGGCAGTTGTAAGCCGGCACTAATAACTTAGGCCTTCATATGCCTAAGTACCGGTAGGCCTACTGCTTTGAAAATTGTTTGAAATAAATGGGCCAAGTATTTTGGTAAACACACAAATCCTAGTCTTGCCAAGGCCAACAGTAAAGGATTTAATACTGTAGATCTAGTTAAACAGGCTACCTAATCATACTGAGAACGAACGCATTCAAATGGCTTAAGTGGAGGGTTTTATGCCTAGTTAGTAAATATTACCTTTAAAATTGAGCTAGTGAGCTGTACTCATCCTATAAGAATATCCCCAAAACTGTTTGAACTAAACTGAAGGTTCAGAATTTATGTGGAATCAAATAATAAATAAAAATAAATGGGATAATGATATTAAGTTTTGTTTGAGGTTAGTTATGAAAGTTTAAAGTTTAGATTTAGATAAGGAAAAACGCAAACAGCAAAGAGAAAAAAGGGCATGGTGTGTTCTTCTTCTTAAGACAACAAAAGTGGCCTGGTTTTTTGTCATGAGGCTGTGGAGTAAAGTTGAATTGGATACAACCAGTGGGGTCCCATATGGTCGACATTTCATATTTCAAAACTGAAATATTCCCATATAGCCGACAGTGAAGGAGATTTCAGCTCTGAAGGATCGATCATGGCTGTCGGTCATATGTAACCCACAACCCACCCATCGGCAAAATCTATATGGTTGATTGGAATTTGCGTCAGGAAAAACTAAAATGTCCACAATCTTTTTCCTAAGCCCATCACATCATTTTTGAGGTATTCTAATGGTAATATACAATGTGTAGAATAATCAGTATGAGTATGATTGAGGCAGTCCCCTAAATTACCAAGTTATATGGCAAAATGTATATGGTTGATAGGAACTTGCATCAGGAAAAAGTGCACAATGTTGACCCTAAGCCCATCACATCAAATTTGAGGTATTCTATTGGTAATATACAATGTGTAGAATAATCAGTATGAGTATGATTGATGCAGTCCCCTAAATTACGAAGTTATATGGCAAAATGTATATGGCTGATAGGAACTCGCTTCAGGAAAAAGTGCACAATCTTTTTCCTAAGTCCATCACATCAACTTTGACGTATTCTAATGGTAATATACAATGTGTAGAATAATCAGTATGAGTATGATTGAGCCAGTCCCCTAAATTACCAAGTTATATGGCAAAATGTATATGGTTGATAGGAACTCGCATCAGGTAAAAGTGCACAATCTTTTTCCTAAGTCCATAACTTAGATGAAGGATGAGTGTAGAATGATGGTGTGTGATGACGGAATGGCACACGGGAGGGACTAAGGCTAAAGGTGTAGTGACGTCATATCTCGTGGCTAATGTCTTCTCTTGAGGCAACACGATTACCGTAACGAGACGATGTGATTTCATTTTTCAGCGGCGTTCGTGGCACAGGCGTTTCGGATTGATGTACTGGTGGTCCCGGGTTCGATACCATCCGGGGACATTAACATTTTGTCAACGATTTTTGCTTGGAATGCGAATACTTCTTAACTGTACATCTTTTGTTAGAATTTGATGCATTTATAATTTTATTTATGAACAGAGAACTTGTGTTATATATTAAACCTTTATTCGATTTTTAGCCTATATTTTTTTTTATAGTATCAGCAAGTTTGGTTGGTTAGGTTAGGTTATGACAGTTTAATTTTATAATACTAAATTTTAAAATTAATTTTATAATTAAAAATTATAAGTTGTTATTAATTAGATTTTTATTTCATATAGTTTTTATATTATCAGCAAGTCTGGTTGGTTAGGTTATGTTATGACAGTTTAATTTTAAAAATTTATTTTATAATTTATTAAAATTTATTTTATAATTAAAAAGTTAATTTTCAACTAAAAATTAAAAAAAAAAATAAATTTGTTCAACTTAGCGGTTCTAGCGGCGAACGCTGACACTACAAGATATGTTAGCTAAGGGAGTATGTTTTGGTTTTATCTATGCCTTAGTGGTGTGATGACCTGTGTAGCTTTGTTACTGACTAAGATCAGCGGTTTCATTAGTCACGATCATTTATTTAAAGCCCAATGATCAGGAACAGCTGAGTCCAGTTTCGAACCATCAAAAAGCTACTAACTTTTCTCAGGATCGAACCGGCGACCTTTTAATTACTAGGCGAGCACTATAACCACTCAGCTACCCAGCCAGTCGATGATGACCAGGATTTCTTTTCTGGATAGATATATGTCAAAAATAAAAGTTAACTTCTTCCTTCTATCACTGTCTAGTGGGTATTTACTCAGGGGAGGTATAGAAGAGGCTACGATGACAGCTGTGGGCTTCTTATTAGCTGAGGGAACGCCATTACCGTAACAATACGATTTTCAGTCATCGACCTCGGTGGTCTAGTGGTTAGCGTGCCGGGCTGATATGCTGAAGGTCCCGGGTTCGAATCCCGCTGGTATCTTTAACTTTTTGTCCAAGATTTTATCATTAACAGCAAGTTTGGTTGGTTTGGTTCGGTTATGACAGTTTAATTTTTATTATTAAGTCATTATAAAATTTTAATTGAACAATTTCTAGTTTTATTTAATAAACAGAATTATTTTTTATATTACTAAACTTTAGTTATATTATTTCATTATCAGCAAGTTTGGTTAGTTTGGTTAGGTTATGATAGTTTAATTTTATAATTAAAAAATAATAAAATTGAATTTTAGGCATTTATAATTTTATTTGATGAACAGAACTATTTTTGCGATTAGTAAACCTTCATTGCCAAAGTGCTCTCTACTACAGCGCTGTTCACGGAGGAATTTTGAACTAATGCCTCTATCGTACCTCCCCTAAGTCAGACCCCTGTCTAGTGCCTATGCTCATTTTACCTTAATCAAATCGTACACTTATAAAGTATATTTAATCTATGCCCGAATGTTGATAGTTTCGAAGCTTAATAATT